TCAGAATGAAACATTATGCTTCAAGGATAAAGGCGGTTGGCCACATCTGCTGAGGAAGTTCAGTGCATCATATAAATACAGCAACAAATAGGTTTTATGGCTCACTTTAAAATACACCTGCCTCCCTCCAAAAAGCACAGCCATAGTTTTCAGTCAGCGGCAATTTCTCAACCCCTCGTCTCTCTGATGCAAGTCTGTACATTGAGCTCTCTCTGTAAAAGGCTCTTGAACTACACCCACCTGTCAGAGAGGAAGGTGAAGATTACTGATTACACCCTCTTACAAAAGGATTGGAAAAGGCAATAAATCCTTGAACTGAACAAATGTTTTTTTTTGTTGTTGTTTTTTTTTTAAAAAACTGGTCAAAACATGAAAAGGACACATCTATTCGACACAGCTTTGCTATAGACATGATTCAAAGTGAATGATGAATGTGACTTGCTTAAGAGCTCTGCAGACTGCAGTCACAGCGACACCTTCACTGCCCTTGCCGTATGCTACACCTTTACCAGCTGCCATCCTGATGATTGCTGCCTTCCTCCCACCCCCCGAACCTTTTCTGCTTCCATCTTTTATCCATCCACTCGCGTGCCCTGCAGTTTTGAACTCATGAGCTGAACTGGCAAGGCTCAAGTGAGGAGACAGCAACTTGTTGTGCCCCCTCTCCACGACACCCGCCCTTTTAGATTTCTCTCTTCACGTGTCTGCTTGACGTTTGACAACTTTGTTAAAACTATCACGGCTGCCTTCCGCAGGAGCCGAGTCGCAGATGGATCGAGAGGTCCGTGCGTGAATGGCGCTGCTGTAAACTGCTTTGTGTGTGCGCGTCTGTGTAGCTTTGACCCATCAGGGCCTTGTGGGAAGCTGCAGCTAAACTGAAGGATGCCAAAGAACGGCAGAGCGAGGAGGGGAGGAAGGAAAGGTTGGAGACAAGGGGAGGGAAAGAGAGAGAGAGAGGGCTGGCTTAGCCAAGGAGGAGACAAGTGCCTGTACTGCAGCAATGCAGGAGCGAGGGAGAAGGGTGTCAATGAGATGAAAGGGGGGGGTGTTGACTGATAACAGTGCTATATACAAACGGCAGACAGTGCAAACAGGCACTTTTAGAGCCAGTGTTATCAAAGCTAACAAGTTTATGCAGCCTGATTTCTTGTGCTTCTTTACAGCATCTCTGTTTTGCTGATGTTTCCTTGTTTTACTACGGCTCAGGCAGTATCATCCCCGGCTCTACCTCGCAGAGACAACAGGCCGTAGCAAGGCAAACACTCCCTGCTGGGCCGTCCATGTCTCCTCCCTCCCCTGCCCTCTGAACAAACAGCTGTCTCTCTTGAGGGTACATGGCAGGGAAAGGGACGCTTGGGAACGGGCTTCCTGTGAGCTCTGTTGCGTCATTCTACAGTGAACTTGCTAATACAGCCCGCTGCTAAAGCTGTTACTTTCAGGAAAGGCAAGTTGTGTGTACTGTGCACTGCTCTCATTTAACATCACTCCACCCGATGCCTTTTCAAGTGGCCCATTGCAGCAAAATGTAAACAGGACTCCAAGAGAAAGCCTCGGCTCGGTTTTCATTGTACAGCCACCCCCACCTTGTGCAAATCCATGCCCACCCTTCTTCATTTCATAAAGACCAGTGACATATAAGCAGAGAGCACAAACAAAGCACACTGAACATACATTTGCTCCAAGTAACAGCATAAACACACGCAGAAAAGAGGGGGAGACGAGCTAATGCGCTGCTATTTGTTGCACAAGGATTACAAGCACTCAAGGGATAAATATCGTGTTCTCATCATAAAAGTTTTATTCCATGCAAGGATAACGTCGCAGGGTCAAGAGTATTTCCTGGTGAAAAACATTTACATAATGTATCTGTTTTATTGGATTCTTCCTGGATCTTAGTCACAGGAAGACCAAGTGCAAGGAGTTGGAGATGAGTCGAAGGACAAAATAGCAAAGTTGAAAGGTCACTCTGTCAGATCTAAGGACTGTTATATTTTAATTCAATTCAATTTAATTGTAATTTATTTATATAGCTCCAAATCACAACAGCAGTCACCTCAAGGAGGTTTATATTGTAAGATAAAGACCCTATAACAATACAGGGAAAACCTCAACAATCAGGTGACCCCCCCCTCCCCTCCCGCCTATTGTGCAAGCACTTGGCAACAGTGGGAAAGAAAAACACCCTTTTAACAGGAAGAAACCCGCAGCAGAAGCAGGGTCAGGGAGAGGCAGCCATCTGCCATGACCAGATGGGAGTGAGGGGAGGAAGACGGGACAAAAGACACACTGTGGAAGAGAGCCAGAGATTAATAACAATAATAATGATTAAATGCAGAGAGCTGAATAAACACTGTGAGTGAAGAAGAAACACTCAGTGCATCATGGGAAGCCCCCAAAGAGAGATCCATGTGTACATAGCCACATTGAATACACCAAATCGTTACAACATGAACTGATGAATAATTATCTTGGGCAGATTTTAGATTTAGCATTTGCACTTTTCAGACAACAACTCACTGAAGTGCTGCAGATTACATCCAAAACCTCTGACTTTAAATGCCGCAGAGTTCGAGCTATCCAACAAAAGTTTCACTTGTATCATTGTGTCTTTTCCCCCCCTGCAGTATGGTTCAATAAACGGATAGCAAACAGTCTATCAAATTTGTAACTGAGGAAGAAATTCATCTGGTATTGATATCACGCTACTGAGCCCGGCAACAGACATAAACTATAACAGACTCATTCAATTTCTTTCAGATTAAGTTTGTTATCTTGCAACGCTCAAAATACCAGACAGCTTAGCTGATTCAAACATAAGCAAGTAAAGTTTAGGACTAT